TGAAATTGCGATTAATTTGCCCTTGTTTTGGGTTGATTTGGCTCTTGTTTCGTCTTGAGGGTTTTTCTTTGGTTATTTTTGATCATACGATATTGAGGGAGCCAAGTCAGTCCAAGTTGTACATCATTTAAAGTGGGGTTTTTACTTCTTATTGTTTTTTTTCAAATTGAAGAAAACTTTTTACTTGATTCTGTGTATCGTGTGGTGTAATATATTAAGGGGTTTTTATATATCGTAAACTGGGGGCAAAACAGTTTCTGGCTCTCCTTCCCCCTTCCCCTCATTTTAATTTACATCTGTTTCTAATATTTTCCCCAAAAAATATCTCCTTTTGAAATTCCATGCATGAATAGAACTAAAGTTGGGCGGGATTTAAAAAAACTAGCTGACATTTAACGATGTCTGTCCTTGTTGACCTCCCCAAAAAAGAAACGATGACAACACCGTGGTGGATTGCGGGTGTTGAAAAACACTCCCAAGGAGAGACACCGAAAGCTGACCGCTCAGCATCCCGCTGAACAATAACCCAAACATCCGCACATTTTTTGCTTATGGCTTCCGCCGCCAAATGTACATACTTCGTCAGAGCTATTTTCCGCAATTATTTTCGCCAGCAGCGGGCACACGATGTAGGGCCGGAATTGGTCGATTCAGAAAGGACATCTATATATGGCAGGTCAAAAACAGAATATTACGGGTCCAACTTTTGGGGTTGGGAATAGTTTTTTGCGGGTATGATGTGATTGATGCTCGTGATAACAGAACAGGCGCGGGTGTCGGGTAAAAAAAAGGTATAGAAGTGAGAATGTACGCAATCAAAAGTCACTGGTTCTGTTTTTTTTTTTTGTAAATGAAAATAAAATTTTACAATTAAACGACTAACAATGTATTCTGGGGTGGGTAAAATAAAGGCTGTTACGTTTCGCATGTGATTAACAACAACAACAAACAACACACAAAGTAAAAGGGAAAAAACAGTAAAAGAAACGACTTTTTGATAGTTAAAACATGGTTTTTCGTATATAATTTTGTCTATTTGTAGCCCTATCGATATTGCGAACATGCTTTGCGTAGCATATTAAACAAAAAACACCAAACAAAAAGGATCCCTGCCATTTCTTCTTTTTTCCTTCTTTTTTCTTTCGCTGAGCTTTTGGATTACAAAAAAAAAACGCAATTTAACAAAGAAGAAACAAAAAAAAACTTCTAAAAAAGGGTAAAACAAAAGGAGAAAGAAACCAAAAGAAAAGGAAAAGAAAATCAAAAACAAAACGAAAAGTGAAAGAAAAGAGAAGAAAGCATGTGAGTTTATATTTCTTTTTCTTTTCTTACTTTTGCTAACTGATCTACTTGTGTTGTGTTAGATTGTTCTGCTTCTCCGAAACATAAAGTTAGCAAGCCCTATCCTTTTCGACTTCACCAACGCCTCCTCTAAGTTTTTTGTTCTTTTTTGAACCAACCAAAAAAGATTTAAAAATAGCCAACCTTCACAGAAAAAACCCCTGACCCCGCCTTCAAACTCTTTTTTTAACAAACTTAAGCAACGTGAAAACGAGAACCTTAAAGTACGCAGAAAGAGATAGAACATGGCGTACTTTTATAATCACGATACGACATCGACACAAACAATGTCTGGACAACCAATAGCCGCCACCATGCAGATGCACCAACAACAACAGCCAGCTCCTCTCCCGATGATCAATTATAACCAGACCTACAGCAACATACAGCAACAGCAACAGCAACAACAACCTCAGCATGTCATCCAATTCCAGCAACAGCAACAACAGCAGCAGTACCAGGTACAAACTCCATCGGCATCACCTTTAGTACACCCACCGCCACCGATCAATCTGTCATCAAATCCAGCAGCATACATGACATCTCCAACACCATCCTCAACCTTTTCTTCACCAAACTTGCAAGCTTCCAACAACATGAACACTGTTATGATGCAACCCGGTGCTCCATTAGTGTTCCAAACTCAATCTATCGGTCAATATCAAGGACAACCTCAACAACAACAACAATATGATCAAGTACAATATCAACAAGTTCAACAATACCAACAATACGATCCACCAGTCAACAAACTAATGATGCGACACCCATCTCTTCGATTAGGAATCCCCCATCCATCACCCGCCCAATCACCAATCCTATCATCCTCTAGTACATCCACACCACAAACCTCTAGTACAACAGAAACACCATCAACAATTCCATGTCCATACGGACCACCAATTCAATTACGGCCTGATGGAAAACGTAAACGCGTTCATGCCTCAAAGGAACAATTGGCGATGTTGGAAGCTGCGTTTCAACAGAATCCTAAACCGAATTCGAGAGGGAGGATTGAGATATGTAAACGTGTCGGGATTAATAGTAGATCTGTTCAGGTAAATATATTGTTTGTTTCTATAGTTCATTATCAAAGTTGGCTATTTTCTTTATTGTTTTTTTTTTTTTATGTACAAATTGCTTTTTTCATTTGTCAAGCCATTCCACACCCACTACATCCACTCCACCCTTCTCGTCCTTGTGCTTTCACTTTGTTTCCCCGTCACCCTTCTCGTTCGAATTCCATTTTTTC